CAAAACAAATCATTTGCTACACGTAAGTATTATTTTCTTTAATGCTCATTTTGTCTAGATGGTTCTGAAAAATAAGGTACCCAAACGTTAAGTAGAGAACATTTTTCCATGCCTGATACCCACCTTGCTTTTCTGTATCAAGAACAATTTGGTCAAGAATTTAGTGTAATGCAGGCGTGATTAACAAATATTTTCCACTTGTTAAGAAAAAAAAAAAACAAACAATAAAAAGGGTGTGCTTAGTTTAGGTGTAGATGCAAACAGCTGTTTTCTTTTTCTCGAGTTCATTTTCTTAAAGCATCAGTGCTAATTCTTTAAAAACTAAAATATAGGTAATATAGGTGCCTTTGCAGACAGAACTCTAAAGGAAATAGTTTCCAAACTTAACAACTCACTCTTCCAGCAGGGTTCCAATAAAAAACAAAACCAACATATTATACTCCATGAGGAAGCTTCAGGCATTCCAGCAATGTAATTCTCCCTTTTCTTGAAGTCACAATTCTTTGCATAAACTATTTAATGGCTTGTAACAAGGCTATTAAGGGACTCGCTTCCCATTTCACACTATGCTTCTCACACACTTCTACGAAGTACGTCCTCAAGTTCCAGTAGATGTATTTCATATTTGTAAAATTAATGCTATTTGAAAGAACGTACTCCAAAATAAAAATTAATCACATCATGATTTTTATTCCGGTATTTCTGCCACTGACCACTTGTCTGTCTGGAGTCAAATCCACTGCATAATAAACAAACTGACAAATAATTTGCATAACTGCATGTAGTTAAGCTACACTAACCACCTGTTCAAATAAGCAGGTCCCATTGCACTGCAGATGTTTGTTATTCCAAAAGCAAATGGGGAATGTACAAGGTGATAGAGCACTTTTGTCCAAACACCAGTCTTAGGCTAAATACTCAGACTGCAAATACCTCATACAAATACACACACTACAACACTCAAAAAAAGGCACAATTTCAAATGGCAATTATGTTTGACCTTCATTAATATTCTCCCATTTTACTCCTCAGGTTTTGTTCTAGAAGTGCATCATTATACAGACACCAGAGAATTAAGCTTGCAACACAGCAGCATGGCTCTATCTCCAAGGGCAGCTTGTATCCTTGACATCTGCATTGTCCCAACATGCTTTCTTTTTACAAAACTGTATCTTAATGCACATTAAACTAAAAATGGTATCTTCTGCTAAGGGAAGATTAAAAACCAAACTGTCATGATACAACCATGTGAAAGCAAGGCACATTTTAGCTAGAAGAAAGTGTTTGTTCCTTGCACAAGTACATGAGAATATTAAAAGGCATTTTAAGTGTTGACTTAATGGACTTAAACTGCCTTTTAATCTAAAATATAATACAGTAAGAGTAGTCTCATGATCTGAATTCCTACAGGCAGTCATTGAACCTACTCATTCTATTTTGGTTTTCCTTACACAGCAAAACTGATAAGGAAAAAACTTCTAGACCTTCACCTGGATAGTTTTAAGTATGTCCATGAAAATGTGCATGCGCTATTCTAGACAGTATGAAACCCATCCTTCTCTGAGGAACCATTAATAATTTATCTGAGAGGATGGTGGCCAGCCTTTAGCACAATGTCCTACATGATCAGATGACAGTTGTATCTTCTGCCCCTTTTGTGCAAATTAAATTTCTTTCTAAAAGGCTCAGAAACCTTGAAGTCAAAATACAGAGTCTGACCTGCGCTATAAGGAAATGCAAATAAATGATTAACCATCCCTTTTTAATTTAATATTTTAAACAATACTAGATTAAATGCATGAAATCCAAAGCAAACTTCTACCTAATACTGGAAAACATCAAGTTTCAGACCCTGAACTGCCACTGACCCAGTGAGACAAGATCAGTTAAGGTTGTTTTTTTCCTCCCCCTGCTACTTCAGTATTAAACACGGAAAGGGTTACCGCAGCACACCTTGTGGATCAAGCTCCTCCATTCTCAGGAACACCAACAAGGCATGAAGTGTAAGAAAAATGAGTAATTCTCCAAAATCAAGGAGGTTTGGAGGCTCTAAGATGGGGAAAACATCTGGATGGCACAGAACTTTCTTCCTACCAAGGTACATAAACAACTTTCTTACTCAATTACTCAAATTAGCATCAATACAGGACAACTGCCCAACTTGGGTAGCAGTTCAGACTCTGACCCCTACAACTTTCTTCTAAGGGGTATGAGGCATCTTATGCTAGTACCCAACAATTGCATGCACACCTCAGGGCTCACCTGCACTGACAATATATGGGACTCACTGGCAATTTTTGCCATGGATGGGCAATTCCTGTGTTGGCCCCAAAAAAACTCCCAAGAGAAGATGATACAGAATAGCCTGTCTTCCAGGTTATGTTCTCAACAAATAATCCTAGGAAGGCTTTACCCTCTTATCCTTTCAGTAAATTACTTTTCTTGCTCAGAGCTTTAAGATTTTATTGCTTTTTAAGTTAGCAATGAAAGATTTAATCACAGATTTGTTAGATTTAAGCACTCAACCCAGGGTCTTCCAGAACCTTCTTGGCTCCAACAAGAGCTGCAGGAGAAGTTCCCGACTGTGAATGCTACTGGAAAAATTCTGGATTTACCACGGATTTCCTCCCAGTAATCATTCACAGCTTGAGTTTAGCAATAAAGAAATCCACCACCGTGGCCCCAACACCATCTGGGAGATCAGGCTTTTGGCAGAGAGAAATGGAGCAGCAATCGCCTGGCGGCGCAGGAAATCAATGGCTCCCCCGAGCACAGATCATCGATTTCCCTTTCTGCCAGCAGAGTCGCTTTGCACGCTCAGCGACAAGTCTCCCTTATCCCAGTAGGGCACACGCACTTTCCTGCAGATCCTTCCCTTACCTATAGGGCAGACAGCTATGCAACTTCAGCTGAACAAAAAGGGAAGGAGGGAGTAAGTGCCCAGACACCCATCTCCCAGGAGAGCCTTTACACAAAAAGGTTTCAGGCTGAGAGCTTCAGGCTGTGAGGTGGATAACAAATGCCCCAGCATGCTACTGACTGAAACTCATCTCAAATCCCAGGACTTGAGAAAGAATCCAACTTTGACAACATGTGGGTCAGGAAAACCTAATCTTCCCTTCCTGCCCAGTAATAAGGCAGTACTATTTTTGCCAGTAATTAGTGCTCCAAAACAGGTGTAAAGGTGTTATTTCATTTTAAGCACAACCATATAGGGGACTTTGGAACACGTGACAACCACGTCACCAAAAAATAAGTGAGCACAGGAAACAACAGGTCACATCGACACCCTTCCATACTGCGTTTCTTCATAACTAAACCACAGGTTTACTTACATAGCCCAGAGAACCTCCCAGTACAACCCAGTTGATGTATCCTTTTTACTGAGAGATTTTACAGGAGAGATGCTGAGAACTGGAATATTCACTCAAAATCTCCTGCCAAGGTCATAGAAGAAACCACCCCTGATCTCTGCAGTAAAATGTCAATCCCTCCTCAAATTTACTCGCCTTGCTGCTCCCTGGAGCACAAAGCAAGGTAAGGACAGGAATAGAGATTCCCCAGACACACACTTTACCTTTGCTGCAAGCAAAATGAACTCCATGTGCACGCTTTTGCCCCAGGTCCAAGTTCCCAATGAAGTCACAGTAATGGGGACATGAAAAGCATGCATGCAGTAACCAGGAACTGAACAACTGTCTGTGACTGGTGTCAGAGGTTACCGACATACAACGGCAGATGGAAGGGACTTCTGGTCAATCCAGACTTGGCCCTGATTTGAACCAGTGCTCTGAATAAGCAGCTTGTCCAGGAACCAGCCATCTCTCAGATCAGAGGGTAGTGCTGTAATTATTTTCAGAGCTATGCCCACACATTAACCCCAGCAACTGCAGACACGTTGGGCTCACCACTGGATCAGACTGACAGTATTTACCTGTATCATGCATATTTTGCAGCCATCTGCTGAAAGCTAGGCTCAAAGATTCACAGAAATCTGTAAGAGAGTTATAATACACTAGAAATATCTTAGCCTCTAGCAGCTTCTCAGGGAGACCACTAACTCAGTGTCTCTGCCCACATTTTACACCTTCAGTTTAACAGGTTACATTTGTAAGTGCAAGTATCTGCTGTATTTCTCTAGAGTCACCATTGCTCCAAATCAATTCAGGTCATGCTGAAATTAGTTTTGCCCTTCATCAGGTTAACTGCTTCTCCAGTTTTGCTATAATTAATACATGTCCGCAGATAAATTACAAATAAAGTGAAAGACAAAAAAGAAGTAGGATTAAAGTGTAAAATTTTTCCTTGTCCCTTCATCCCCGAATTAAACAAGAAGCCTCTCAAAATCTCACCATACAAATTTAATCAGTGATGACCAATTAATCAGTTACCAAAAAGAGACACTGCTTAAAGGTATTTCATAGAAAAAATAACCTACAAGAGACTCTTCAATAAATATGAGTAACGCAGTTAACCCAACCTGTTTTCCTGTGAAAGAGAAAAAAGGTCATGTTTTCTAAGCTTTTCACCTTTCTCCTGGTCCATCCTAACTGCAGTAAGACTCAATTTGGCCATTGTGGACTGCAGTAGGCCTGCATTTAGCATGGTGGAGTGTGTGTCCTCATGGTTTGTTTTTACAGTTTATGGAAAGGCAAGTATAATGAAGCAAAACTGCTGCAAGAAAGAGCTGGAACAAGTTAAGAGAACAAGCTTCTTTGAGACAACATTCTTCATTCTAGGTTTCTGGCATGCATAGCCAAAACTCCATTATATTCTTTACTGACAGATTTAGAGCTATTATTTATTACAAATAGGATCATTGAGGCAAAGTAGTATTTCATGGTATGTTCTTGAACTGATCAGAAATCTTACACAATGAACACTGGAAGACTTGGTTCTATGTTCTAGGGAAAAGTAATTTTCTACTGATGTACTATTATTTTCCTCTGGGAAAACTACCTTTTCTTTATGCTGAGAATGATTATAATAAAAATTCTTACCTGTTTTCCATCTAGTGTGTACAAGCGTTTGACCACCCCTGAATCCAGCTTGATGGCATCAGTTATATCAGTAAGAACCTGTTCAAATGAATGTGCTGTCTTCTTGTTAAGCAGAATCCGGACTGCCTTCCGTGGTTTCACTCCACTCCTGATGATAGTGACTAGTTTAGGCCTAATGAAATCCTTATTTTCTTTTGCATCTGGAGTACCTCCTTTAGCAGTGGCAAGAGACGGCACTGAGCGAGAAGTAGAGGTTGTCTTAACATTCACTGACCAGTTTGGGTTTACATTCTTCGTGTACTCCAGTTTCTTGAAGGGTTCTATTGAACCACATACATAGCTTTCCCCTGCAGAAACAGAAGTGCAAGAGCAGCAAGTCAGATTGGAGGGGAGAAAAAAAAAAGGAAAAAAGAAAATTCAAATCATTCTCAATTATTATTCTTACTACTCTTGATCTATAGTACATAACACGTTGATATCTTCCCTTCTTTTAGATATTTAAAGATCACTCATTAGCTAAGCATCAAGCAAAGGCAATGCTGTGATGAATTGCTTGAAAGCAACAGTTTTCTTTTCAGAAAGCACCATCACAAGTGGGGACTGCTACTGTCAGTAAGCAGTGTTCACATTAATCATTTGTCCAGACCTAGGGCATTATCACGGTAGTCCACCAGCCTTCACACTTAAGTGGCCCGTTCCTCACAAAAGAGCAGGCCCCAAACACTTCAGAGGAAATAGTATGAACTGTTATCAAAAACTATAGGTTACAAATTACTTTCAATAAAAGGTGGGTGAAAATGTCAGAGGAAATTTGTTAACATTTGATTATTTAAAGCTTTAAGTAACATAAAACCAGGATATAGTGAGGTTTCTTGCCTGTACCTATTATTCTATTGACTCAACGTATTATATGGAGGGAAAATGAAGGCAAAGAACAGTAATTACAGAGCTCTCCTCCCACCATAGTTGGGACCATGGTTTAAAGAAAATGACAGTTTAATGAAAAAAGTTGATTATAGTTCAGATTTCTATTGGAACACTATCTACAATGAACTATTTCCAGAATTACCACACCCACATTTTCTGGCTAGGTTAGAGCTCCCCAGCAGTAACACCAGCAGTATCCCTATTCCTTAATCCATTCCAGCTGCAGGCTGGTGTGACAAAGGCACCCACTTGTGTGCTCCCAACCTCTCCCTTGTGCTTGGCTGAGTGACCGCGCTGCCAGTTGCAGGGGGTAGGTTGGACCAGCTTGTTCATCTGATGGAACATGAAGACAACACTAATGCTTTAGCAAGCTGATCCAGCTCTCCCTCTGGCTGCAAGAAAAGAAAAAAGATGGAAAAAAACCACCACATGAGATCCAGCAGGACCACACCTTCTGGCAGAGTGCAGTTAAACTGGATTGCAAGTAATGTAAAATCCTATCTGACTAACACCACAAAAACATTTGAGATGTTTCAAGTCTTCAGGGTTCAATAGTTCAGTAGGGACCTTTATATTAGCAGTTACCCCAAGGTATTAAGATAAAAACAGAACAAAATGCAGTAATGTACCTCCTAGGCAAAAACAGCACACAAGAACCAAATCCCCTGAACACTAGAAAACAGACTTTCCTAGTGATCCCTACCATAAGCAAGGAGTATTCATGTTTTAATGATTATAAAGTTTTTTGTTTTTTGTTTTTTTTCTAGACACACTAAGATTCCAGGGCCATTCAACCCCACAGACAATACAGCACACAAGAACACAAGGAATGCTGGCAGATGCACAAAGTTCCCACAGCTAGAACTGGAGGGGGAGATGAAGGGGAACCCACTGGGGCACAAGGTCCCAGGATGCAAGAGAGGTTCAGGTCTTGTACTAGCAGAGCTGGCATGATGCTCCACAGGGGAGATAATAAAGACAGGAGGATGCTGTAAAGATCAACAAATGATCTTGAGAACAGATGTTGTAAAGACTAGAAAGCCAGCAGAAGGACACCAGGAGTGTACCAAAGAATTCGGAGCCACACGTGAAGATGGACCACTGAGCAGAAAAGGTAAGTGCAATGACAACACAAGATCAAGCAAGTATCACAGGAAGATTTTTGTTTGGTTTTTCTTTTAACATTCTTTTGAAGCTGAACACAAAATGCAGAACGGGAGATGAAGTAACACATTCCAATGTCTGATAGTCACTGGAATTTCAAGTTCATCTGCACTTTGCAGCAACTTCTTAAGTGGTAAGAAAGGAATCTAAGACTGAATGCTTACACCAACCTTAAGAGAGAGAAAGGTAAACTCTTACTGAGAGAGAGAGAGAGGGGGCACTCACTATATATCTGGTAACAACAGAAAAAGGCTTAGCAGCAGGAATGACCCAGGAGTGAACAAACAAGACATGTTCTCTTTTATCTAAGCCCTGTTCCAGTATTTGTTGCACTAGCTACTCAGTTACAGCAAGGTCAGAACGTACCCACAACATGTTTTATTAAAATTAACGAATTTTAAAGATAACATTAATAAGGTTTTATAGAAAGGAAAAAAGTAAAAAGATCCTGCTATGAATAGGACCACCCTCAATACCATAGTAACTGTTGTATAAAATACAATTATTTTTTTTTACTTCTGTGAAGTATCTGTGCAATTTTAGCTCCCTCTAGAAAAATTTAAACAAAATTTATTCTTGCCTCCACTTGAGTTTGTAGTCAGATTTAAAAATCACCAGCAACCTCTTTGGGAGAAAAAAAAAAAAAAAAGTAGAAAACATTTAATTTCAGAGTCAGAAAGTGTTTGACTTACTGGCGTAAAATAAGGATTATTTTATTTAAAAAAAAAAAAGCTTCATATTAAAGCTCACTTCTCACGGGATAGGTGAATAAACAAACTGCCATATACAGCATAACCAGAAGTTTTATGTTACATTTATAAAGAACAAGTTTGGTTCCTTTTATTGAAAGGACAGCATTCCACGTGGTTTTTAATACCAGCTATATTTAAAGGTCAGCTGGCTTCCTTGCAGTGTGTAACAGCACATCATCTCCTAGCTACAAAATTAGTTTTGTGTAAATGACCATAAAATACTCGCTGAAGCTGTAGGAGTGTTTTAACATTGGACTGCTTTCCCCTTCATTTCCAACAGTACTATATTACACCAATAAAATATGCGCACCAGGATACTCTCTTTTTCCCCTTGAAGAGGCTTACATTTATATACAGAATGTCTCAGAGACAGAATATCAAAAGCCTTGCAAGATTAACTATTTATGATAAGAGCTATCATATAAGAAAACAGAAATAGAGATGCTTCTACCATCATATTGTCAACTTAAGATTGTTTATTCCTCCAACACTTTGCCTGAAGTACAAAAAAAACTTTAGGAAATTTGGTCTGCGACTGCAGTTGTCATTCACAGGTGCTCCTAAGGGTCAGCCCTGGAAGCACACAAGCCAAACAGATCAGAACCTCGCCCTAGAAAGTATCTCGTACCTCATCTTAAAAACGTGTAAGTATCATTTTGTGGTGATATTCAGCAATTTTTGAGTACTCCTGACTTAAGTATAAGCATAAATTTCCTGAACTTGGGACCCATGTTGACAGCAGCCAGAAATTTCATTGCGTAGTTTAATCCTTTACCGTTCGTGCTGCTTATATACAGAGGAAATGCCAACATACAGGACAAAAAGCCTTCATCTTGGCTTTCATCCTCTCTTCTGGTTCATAGTTACCTTAAGAAGAGATGACTGCAAAAAGTTTCACAATGGACATGCCTTACTAATCCAATAAATTCACCACCTTCTGCCTTTGCTACCACTTCCTCACAAGTCCCTCCCAGCTGCTGTAATGACGAGGCAAGGAGGTCTGTGTTTCAACAGGGTGAATCAGAGTCTGGAAGAAAGCAGGCTCACTGCAGTTAGGGCAAGACTAAAACTATCAAGTGATGAAGCAATTTTTCATGTTTTATTTTTGGTAACCTTTTGCTATCGTTGTCTTGCAGACAACAGCCTCAGCACGGTGATTTGTACCAGAAGGGAGACAGAAACTGTAATTTGCTGACAGCTCCAGACTGAGAAACACATTTCCAAAGGGTAATGGGACTTAAGCACCACCAACTCTTGGTCCAGATCAGGCCTAAGCACAAGGCCCTGAAGCGTGTCCAGGGAAGGGCTACAAAGCTGGTGAGGGGTCTGGAGAACAAGTCCTACGACGAGCAGCTGAGGGAGCTGGGGGTGTTTGGTCTGGGGAAGAGGAGGCTCAGGGGAGACCTCATTGCTCTCTGCAACTACCTGAAAGGAAGCTGTGGGGAGCTGGGGGTCAGCCTCTTCGCACAGGTAACCAGTGATGGGACTAGAGGGAATGGCCTCAAGTTGTGCCATGGGAGGTTCAGGTTGGCAATGAGGAGACATTTCTCTTCAGAAAGAGCAGTCAGGCACTGGGATGGGTTGCCCAGGGAGCTGGTGGAATCACTGTCCCTGGGGGTGTTCAAGGAGAGGTTGGACGTGGTGCTTGGGGATGTGGTTTAGTGGGTGACATTGGTGGTAGGGGGGTGGTTGGACCAGATGATCTTGGAGGGCTCGTCCAACCTTAATGAGTCTATTCTATGAAAATACAGCCCCAAAACATCAGTTTTGACTAACTGACAGCTGGAAGAAGGTGATCTGTACAGGGAATAATCTTCTGTTACAAATCAAGTGTTCCAAGACCTATGTTGAAGAAAGAGATCCCGGATTAAACAAAAATTTAGGAGACTGCCTATTTAAAATATCCATTAGACAGCACTTCCCCAAGAGACAGGAGTCAGCATTTCCCAGTGCAGTCATCGGTCCCTAATGAAATTTTGACTCTTGATGACAGTATCCATAGGCATTAAGAGCGGAAAGGGGGGGCATCCAGCTGTTTGGGGACATCTGACATGTAGGAAAGAGTCATTACTGCGCATTCAAAACCAATCCTTTCCTGACAGCCCCCTGCCTCCTCACATTCTCAGCAACACTGTGAATGAAATGTACCACGCTTTAACCCTTTAAAATGACACACAGCACTTGTTTCCTGGTTTTGAAGCAGTAATCTCACAATGTAAGTTGTGTGAGTGCTCAACGCTCCAGAAATCCCAAGCAGAACAAGAATAAATCTTAAAATAAATCTTAGTATTAAGAGACTAATAAAAAGCTAGTCACGTAGGACAGATCCCAAAACACAATTTATGTTTTAAAACAAATGAACAAATTGTTTATTACCTGTAGTTATACATCTGTCAAAATTCAATACAGATGAACCACTACAGCCATTGAACACTGAAGGATAGGTCTTACAGGTCACGACAGAACTTTGCAATATGCTTTATGTATTAAATTAAAAAATATAC